GGGGACAGTATTACTGTGGATACTCTCTGTGTGGGGACATGGGGACAATATTACTGCAGATACACTCTGTGTGGGGACACGGGGTCAGTGTTACTGTGGATACTTTCTGTGTGGGGACATGGGGACTGTATTACTGTGGGTACTCTCTGTTTGGTGAACTCAGGGCCAGTATTACTGCAGATACTGTGTGTACTGGGTACTCACTTCCAGGGACAGTGTGCCAGTTTGCTCCATTAATAATGTCACTATGCTGCATGAAATTGTCCCCATGACAGAGCCGCCTGTCGTGCTGTGCCATTGCTCGATGGCTCGATGCATAGACGAACGAAAGCCAGCGAAATACGGTGTCGTCAGCGGTCGGCGTCAGTTTCTGCTGCAGCCAAGTGGGTCGTGCCATGTCATACGGGTAAGAAACAACCATGTCTCCACCATGAAGGTTTGCACTCAGCACAAATGGGATCTTCCTCATCCAGTTAATCACAGCTCGGGTTTCTGGAGCAACCTGGAGACAGTCCAAAGGAATATGTGGGAAACAGATCTGTAGCCCATCTCCCCAGAATACTACAACCTGTCCGCTTGGACATCTGCACTCAGCTCCCCTTCTACCCAAATACACACGTCTGTACTGCAGGACACCTGTACCTGAATACAGATGTATCCCAGTACGCCTGTAGCTGATTACACACGTACCTGAGTGCTTATGCACTGAGTAACCCTGGATCTGAGTATGCCAGTACTCCAGTACCACATTGTGTACCTTCTCCATTTGCCTGTACGCCCTACCAAGTTACTTGAACTCCACTCCACCTGTTCCCATGCACCCAGAGACCTCTCGACCTCAGTAAACCTGGAGATTGCTGCCTCGTTACTAAACTCCTCCAAAACCACACACCCCATAGCACTCAACTTCAGCATGCCTAACCTTCCCTGTATGCTGTCTTCCCTACTAGCCCGAGCTCAGCTATACCTCCCATATACTCCTGACATTCCCCAAGAGACCACTTCCCTGATCCTCCCCCATACCTTCAACAACCAACAATGCCTTCCCTCACCCTCATTAACACAATCATTGCAGCCGCACACCTCCAAAATCCCACCCAGAGGTACCTGGAAACTCTGATGTGCTTTCCCAATGCCTCTGAGATACACCCCCATTCACTGCATACACTCACTCAAAGCCCTGCACCCAAACCCTGGTCCCAAGAACCTGTACATCCAGACCCTAACATCTGCAGCCCCACATCACCATCACAAAATGAACAACCCCTCACTATACAACTACAGGCCCCAGATTCAGCCATGTCACTTACTGATGCATTCGGCCATTTGTAATAGGCTGGGATTGGAATAAAGTGATTCGAGATCAGGCTGGGATCCTCGGCTTCATCCTGTGCATCCCACAGTATGGAATTCAGGTCAGCAAAGTTGTGATTGAGATCGTAGCCCTGCAGGGTATAACGACCGGTAGCCCAACCAGACAACTCCGATCCCTGCTCAGAACACAGGGAGAGGTCAGAGTCAATTTACAGGCCAACATTAATCAAACCATTGCGCACCGGTAAGCATCACCAATCAGACAGTATGCCCACAGCCCAGTCCCAAACCAATCCTACTGCCCCTCTCTCTCCATAACCCCATACCAATCCCCCAAATCAATTCCACTGCTCCACTCCCTCCCCATAGCCCTGTATCAATCCCAAACTAATCTCACTGCCCCACTCTCTCCCCATAGCCCTGTATCAATCCCCAAACTAATCCCACTGCCCCACTCTCTCCTCATAGCCATGTATCA